TTTTTTTTTTTTTTTTTTTTTTTTTTTTCGTTCTCTCTCTCTCGCTCTCTCGCTCCCCCTCACTCTCGCTCTCCCTCACTTGCTTGTTCACCCTCACCGCCCGCTCACCCCTCGCCAATCCCTACCCGCAGCCCCACCCGCACTAGCACCCACGCCATACCCACACCCGCGCTCACCATCACCCGCACTCGCATCCATACCTGCACCCGCACCCTACCCTTGCGCTCTGGCTCTTTTTAAACCAAAGGTCAACAGGTCTGTCACTTTACGGAGAGCTGGCTTTTATATCAAGGTTCCACGCAGATGGTTCACATACTTAGGGACATTCCTTTTGATGGTCATGAATACCGGATCTGGATAAGTAGTTCTACACACAAGATCACACAAGAAGGACTGCAGGTCCCTGGCAGCGAAGGACCAACTGCGGGTAAGTGTGCTGCAATTGGCAACCTGATCTTCACAGTTCGGGTACTACGGTCCATGCTGTCTTGTTGGAGAGCCTCACGTAGACACTTTTTTTCGGAGCGGAGGTACTGCCCCCAAGATGCAATCCGCACCCGCACTAGCACTATGCAACTTTCCATGGCTTTGCAGGTGCTGTCCCAATCACTGGAGGCTGCCCTGTCCCTGGCCTCTCAGGAGCCGGCCAATCCTTCAAAAACATTCCTCCTCCAAGCACCTGGCAAACACCCTCGAGTGATCTGAGACGCCATGAGGTTGTATGCCCAAGACACCTTGTTCAAAGCTGTTAGCGCGTAAACAGTAATGCTGCAGTTATCAAACAACTACTATTGATACTGTTGAAAGGCCAAGCCTTGCCTACGTTGCTGCTCTAGAAGCCTGAAGCTTGTAGCGCCAGCTCTGATGCTGGAAGCTCGGAAAGCTAGGCAATCTCTAAAGTCTTGCTTGCCATTGCCCAAGTACCAGGAGACCAACCCCGTCCTCGTGGCAGAGACAGACTCAGGCCTGAACGTCATCTATGCCACCAGGACCTGTAGGTGAGATAAGACCTTCGCGTGTGGATGCTGTGCTAAGATGACGTGCAGAACAGGATTCTTTCAAGGCCAGAGCTTGGGTGAGCTTTAACCCCAAAGAAGAACTTGCAAGAAGACGTGGCCGAAGGGCTTACCCTGGACTGCTTGAGAGGCCGGGTGACAGCTGTGAAGATAGTGCCAGCAGCAAGCCAAAGTCCGCAGCTGGTCGGAAAGATGGGGAATCGGAACTGGGGTGGACCCAGGCATCTATGATGGCTGGAACGTAAAGAGTGTACGCGAACATGGGCAAGATTGTAGAATGTGTTCGGCACCAAAGCCATTTCTGAGCTTCTTTGCCTAATGCAAATGTGAAATGAAAAAGAGCCCAGAGAGCCTGACCCCTCTCTTCATTCAAGGACGCTCTTAAGCCTCAATCGAGCCGCCGGTGGGGTAGTCAGTGCTCCTCGGCTCAAAGACGAGTTGAAGTCGCCTCGAACATAAAGGTTTCGTCTTGATTCCCAGGCATTCGAAAGGTGGCTTAGGAGGTATCGCTTCTGCATGCAGAGCTCTTTACCTTGGACAGCTCCATTGGGACAGGTGGAGCTGGTCTTACACAAGCTTAGGACTTAGGGCTTACCTTTTCAAGGGCATTGAGGTGCCAGCCCAAAGGCCATGGCTTCTCAGGTTCCAGCTGTCCCTAAAATTGCTTCCTCGCGTAAGTCACATTGCGAGCTGCAGCATCATGCGCAATCCCATGGGCACACACGGCTTACAGATAGTCACATGCCATAAATATGATTCCTCCGTGTCCGAAAAGCAATGTCTTCACAGTTAAGAGATGTTCAGAGCATGCTACCCAATTCCTCGATTCTTCAAAACCTTTTTAAAGCCGCTCGCTCTAGGTCTCCTGCTACCGAATCTACCAAGGTAGCCGTCCCGCAGGGCCTGCTCCAGAACTTGTCATCAGGCGGCAACATCATCCTGGTGATGACGGAGGTGGGATCCTGGTCATAGCAGGGAACTGACAGGAAGGGATCTCCGTAATTAGAGCGCAGACATCGTCGGTGGGATTCCCGCAGTACAGGGGTGGAGAATCTCAGGCATGGGGAACGTGTGACAATCTCCCCACATGGGTGAAGAGCTTTTGCTGGGACCTTTCTTCGCGCCCAGGTATCAGCAGATGTGACACGAACAATACCCACTGCTGGCGAGGAAGCGGGTGACAAGGCTGAGGGCAAAAGATCAGATTCTGAGCAGAAGGTTCCCCGAAATTGATCTCCACTATTTGTGCTGTTTGTATTGCTATATGGGATCATCTGGGATCACGGCAGCCGCTGCCAGAGTTGGCCTGCAAAACATGGGACAGACCACCCCGATTCCTTTTTCTCAACATGCATGTTCAAGAACTGTGTGAGTGCTGATGCTGACGTTGACGCCAAGAGCCAGAAAAGAATGCTGTTCTCGAGGTGGTCCTGCATTCCCCTGTGGTCGACTTCTCCTTCGTGAATGAGGCTGCCTGCCCACAAAGTAGTTACCCACTACCAAGCCGTATGCCCTCGCGAAAATGGAGCCCCAAATGCTAACACATGCACTAAGTGTCAGGTGGGGTTTCCATCCGAAGTACGCAAACACCAGGTCAGTGGCACACTGCGCGTCGCCCAGGCAGTGGCTGTGGGGTCAAGGGGCTTCTCTCTAATGACAACGGCTCTGGCTGTGGATGGGTGCTTTCTGCTACACACGACGAAGAGTACCAGTAACTGGCAGAATAGCAGTACGTTCACCCACGCCGGCGCAGCATGCATCAACATCGCTCGGACATGTGTACATGCTGAATTTGGGCTTGAAGCTAGCGGCATGCGGCTTGAAGTCCTTTGAGATCCTTACCTGGATCGCTCTCAACATCATCAGCATGGATTTGGGGGTGGTTTGTCTGGTTCAGAGTTTAGCGGTGTTCCGATTTTTTGGGTTTTACTGTTGGGGTTTGGGTGGTTTGGGCCTGGGACGGCATGGGCCTTTTTTGAGTTTGCTTTGAGGTGGTTGTCTAGCATATGGGAATTGGGATTGTTCCCTACCTTCATAGCGGGGTTGTTGAATTTCAACTTTCTGATGTAAAAAAACTTTCCCAAGCTTTCGTAGATGCTGATCTGTCCTAAGGGGGTGTGGGGCAGGGGGAACGCTTGGGAAGGGGTCTGGGGAGGGGTCGGGGGGCCAATTTTGGCTGGTCCTTGCAGCTGGGTCTGCGGCGGTTTTGGGGGCTCTTGGGTCCATTTCCGGAGCATCTTGGGGCGATCCTGAGGGGATTCTGGGGGGTTTCTGGGTTGATCATGGGCAGACTTTGGAAGGATTTCAGGGAAGCAGACGTGCTGCTGCTGGGGCTTGCCACTAACGCCCGCCTTGCCGCCCAAGCATGCAAACAGTGAAATATTGGCGGGTCTCGAGCACTGTGGGTGAGGTTCTTGGGTAGTCTTGGGCGGATCTTGGGGCGCTTTTGGGGAGGCATCTTCAGGGGCTCTCGAGGGGATCTTGCGCGGTCTTGGAAGAATCTTGGAGGGTCTTTTTTCAAGAGACTTTCGGTAGGACGGTCGCAGTTCTTTTCATGGGCAGGTACAGCTGGGTTGCGTGCTCCTCTGGTTGTATATCGTCCGTCTCTTCACGCCCCGTGTCGTCAGTCCTGTCCACTATTGAGCTATCGTCCCAGCCTGTGGCTCTCAAGTATGGTAAGTATGGTCAAATGTGGCTTCGTTTTCGGATGTTTTCGGGGCTGTTTGGGGTACCTAGAACCTGCAGATGGAGACTGAGGCGGCCCGCAAGACAACAGCTTTAAGCCATCCAACCTTTGCCCCCACAACTTGCTCCCAAACAGACGTTCACTTGAGGGTCCTGCTGCACTTTTAAAAGACCTCGCCCTGCAAAACCTGGTGAACTGGGTGAAGTGCAGGTCGCAACTGGAGAGCGCATTGGCTTCACCATTGCGGACCGGCCTCCGGTTGCTGGAGAGAGGCTTGGAAATTTTGATGCTTTCTGGGCAGAATCTTCCTACGGGTACAAGTTTTGGTGTAGATTTGGCAACTAAGCGTCCAGCGTTTGTTTTGCAAGTTGGGGGTAGGACGGGAATTTGTTCCTGTGAAGGTGTAGCTACTTTGACCCGGTACTGGACGTCTGGTCGGATGCTGGCATGGAGTCACTTGGAAGAGCACTTCAGCTTTGAGGCACTAAGTTTTAAGTTGAATGAGTGCCTATTGTGCGACAGACTCC